TGGAAGTTCACCTTCCGATCTTATCAGTTCACTTATCAGTTCACCTTCCGAGCCCTATGGACTCTCAGGTGGGCTATGCAGACTCTCAGGTTGGCTATGTGGGCACTCAGATGGTATATGTGCGCTTTCAGCTGAGCTATGCACACTCTCAGGTGGGCTATGCAGGCTCTCAGGTGGCTCTGCTTATTCTCAGCTGGGCTATGCGCACTCCCAGGTGGACCCTATGGGCTGAGCTATGCAGGCTCTCAGGTTGGCTATGTGGACTCTCAGATGGCTGTGTTGGATCTCAGGTGGGCTATGCGGGCTCTCAGGTGGCTGTGTGGGGGTCTCAGGTGAGCTATGCAGGCTCTTAGGTGGATTTTGCAAGCTCTGACATGGCTGTGTCAGGTCTCAGGTGGGCTATGCGGCCTCTCACATGGCTTTGTTGGGTCTCAGATGGGCTATTAATGCTCTAAGGTGGGCTATGCAATCTCTCAGGTGCACTCTCAGGTGGCTGTGTGGGATCTTAGGTGGGCTATGCAAACTCTAAGCTGGCTGTGTGAGGTCAAAAGTGGGCTATGTGGGCTCTCATATGACTGTTTTGGGCCTCAGGTGGGCTATGTGGGCTCATAAGGTGGGATATGCAGGCTCTCAGGTGTGCAATTCGGGCTCTCAGTTGGCTGTGTGGAGTCTGAGGTGGGCTATGCAGGCTCTCAGATGGCTGTGTGGGCTCTGAGGTGGGCTATGCAGGCTCTCAGGTGGCTGTGTCAGCTCTCTGGTGGGCTATGTGGCCTCTCAGTTGGCTGTGTGGAGTCTTAGGTGGACTATGTAGGCTCTCAGGTGGCTGTGTGGGGTCTGAGGTGGACTATGCAGGCTCTCAGATGACTGAGTGGGCTCCCAGGTGGGCTATGTAGGCTCTCAGATGGCTATGTGGGGTCTCAGGAAGGCTATGCGGGCTCCAAGATTGCTGTCTGGTGCCTTAGGTGGACTATGCAGGCTCTCAGATGACTGAGTGGGCTCCCAGGTGGGCTATGTAGGCTCTCAGATGGCTATGTGGGGTCTCAGGAAGGCTATGCGGGCTCCAAGATTGCTGTCTGGTGCCTTAGGTGGACTATGCAGGCCCTCAGGTGGCTGTGTTGGGTCTCAGGTGCGCTATGTGGACTCTGAGGTGGGCTATGCAGGCTCTCAGATAGCTGTGTCAGCTCTCTGGTGGGCTATGTGGGCTCTAATATGGCTGTGATAGGTCAAAGGTGGGCTATGTGGTCTCTCAGGTGGTTGTGTGGGTTGACAGGTGGGCTATGCGGGCTCTAAGGTGGCTGTGCGGTTTTCTTAGTTGGACTATGTAGGTGCCTTAGGTGGACTATGCAGGCCCTCAGGTGGCTGTGTTGGGTCTCAGGTGCGCTATGTGGACTCTGAGGTGGGCTATGCAGGCTCTCAGATAGCTGTGTCAGCTCTCTGGTGGGCTATGTGGGCTCTAATATGGCTGTGATAGGTCAAAGGTGGGCTATGTGGTCTCTCAGGTGGCTGCGTGGGGTCTTATATGGGTTATGCAGACTCTAAGGCGGCTGTGTGCGGACTCCGTGGGCTATGCAGTTTCTTAGAATGCTGTGTGGGGTCTCAGATGGGCTATGCAGGCTTTCAGATAAGCTATGCAGACTCTCAGGTGGGCTATGCGGGCTCTTAGGTGGCTGTGTGGGGCCTTAGGTGGGCTATGCAGACTCTGGCGGGCTATGAACACTCTCAGTTGGGCTATGTGGGCTCTCAGGTGGGCTATGCAGGGTCTGAGATTGCTGTGTGGGGTCTTACGTGGGCTATGCGTGCTCTCAGGTGGGCAGCGCAGGCTCTCAGGTTGGGTTGTGAAGTGTTAGGAGGGATATGCAGGCTCTCAGGTGGGCTTTGCAGGCTCTCAGGTTGCACTGTGGGGTCTAAGGTGGGCTATGGAGGCTCTAAGGTAAGCTATATGGGTATTCAGGTGGCTGTGCAGTCTCTCAGGTGGTTGTGTGGGGTCTCAGGTGAGCTATGCGGCCTCTTACTTGGCTGCGTGGGGTCTCAGGTTGGATATTTGGGCTCTCATGTGGGACATGCACACTCAGGTGGGCTATGAGGGTTTTCAGATGGCCGATTGGGTTCTCAGGTGGACTATGTGGGCTCTCAGGTTGCTGTGTGCAGTCTTAGGTTAGCTATGCAGGCTCTAAGGTGGCTGTGTGGGGTCTCAGGTGCCTATTTGGGCTCTTGTGGTCTATGCACTGTCTCAGGTGGGCTCTGTGGGCTCTCAGGTGGGTGTGTGGGGTCCCAGGTGGGTCATGCACTCTCTCTGGTGGGCTATACAGCCTCCCTGGATGGCTATGTAGGCTCTCAGGTGGGCTATGCAGGCTCTCGGATAGCTTTGCAGGGCCTCAGATTGGCTGTGCATGCTCTTAGGTGGGCTATGCAGACTCTCTGGTGGGATATGTACACTCTCAGGGATGCTGTTTGGGGTCTTAGGTGGGCTATATGGGCTCTCAGGTGGCTGTGTGGGGTCTCCGGAGGGATATTCGGGCTCTCAGGTGACTGTGTGGGGTCTCAGGTGGGCTATGCAGACTCTCAGGTGGCTGTATGGAGTCTCAGATGTGCTATGCTGGCTCTCAGGTGGTCTATGCAGGCTCTCAGGTGGCTGTGTGGGGTCTCAGATGGGCTATGCAGGCTCACGGGTGGCTGTGTGGTGTCTGCGGTGGGCTATGCAGGCTCCTGTGTGGCTGTGTGGGCTCTCTGGTGGGCTATGCTGGCTCTCTGGTGGCTGTGTGGGGTCTCAGGTGGGCTATGCGGGCTCCAATGTTGCTGTGTGGGGTCTCAGGTGGGCAAGACAAGGTGGGGTCTCAGGTGGGCTATGCAGGCTCTCAAGTGGCTGTGTGGAATCTTTGGTAGCTTTTGCATACCCTCAGGTGGCTGTGTGGGCTCAGAGGTGGGCTATCCGGGCTCCCAGGCGGCTCATCACTCTCAGGTGGGCTATGCGGGCTCTTAGATGGCTGTGTTGGTTCTCAGGTGGGCTATGCAGGCTCTCAGTTGGTTGTGTGGATTCTCAGGTGGGTTAGGTGCACTCTCAGGTTGGCTATGCAGGTTCTCAGATGACTGTGTGGGGTCTCAAGTGGGCTATGCAGGTTCTCAAGTGGGCTATGCAGACTCTCTGATTGGCTATGCACCCACACAGGTGGCTGTTTGGGGTCTTAGGTGGGGTATGTGGGCTCTTCTGTGGTTGTGTTGGGTCTCAGGTGGGATATGCTGACTCTCAGGTGGGTGTGTGGGGTCTCAGCTGGGCTATGTGTGCTCTCAGGTGGCTGTGTTGGGTCTCAGGTGGGCTATGCATGATCTCAGGTAGGCTATGCATGCTTTCAGGTGGCTGTGCGGGAAGTTAGGGGGTCTCACCAGGGGTACAAAGACTTGCAGATTTAGGCAGATGCGGCTGTCAATTAATTTAAAGTGCCCACATCGGCACTTAGTGTCTTGTGACCGAGTGTCAGATGGCTTGAAACCCGGACACAAGACTAAAAAACCGAACTGTGCTGGTGAATCCTGGACATGTGGCAACCCTAGGCAGCGAATGGGTTAAAAGCTGGAATGGCTGAATTTTTAATATGACAATATAGTATTTTTAGATTTAACAAAAGATGTTGTATAGAGAGAAATTTTACCTGCCAGTCTAACATATCAACAAAACAAAATATTCTCACCTTGGCCTGGGGCGCTCCTCCTCTGTTAAAGAAAGAGAGATAAAGCTATTAATCATGTGTGCCGTATTATTGCAGTATACAAAACAAATATCTAATCAAAATCAGTCATGTATTAGTTCACAAAAGTAATACACATGCTCTGATGCCTGAATTTAAAGCCTAATAACAACTTATTTTTCCACTGAATAAAGCAGAATAATAATAATTTGTGTGTGAATTGAAAGCAGTTTGTGTCATGTAATCTACAGCTCGGTGGCTTTTTTGTTTAATATTGCTTGTGATTTTAGGTCAACTCAGGAAGTTACAATGTCCTTGTTACAATGCCATTTCTGGAAAAATCTATAGTTATTTTCTTTACCATCTGAAAATGTTCATAGCCTGAAAAAAGAAAACTAATGCAACCACCACATTTAAGGACTGGTAAACTGCATGCAGCCTGCAAGGTACACTAACTCATAGTAACTATTACACAATCATCTCTTCTTAGTCACACTGAAAGCAGTGGAAATATGTTTTTTGTTAGTGTGCATTAGTACACAGTATATTACAGCTCTTCTTACAGCTTTATTCATTTGCACAAAAATGTATATTTTATGAATTCAACAAAGATGGGTTTAAAAAAATTAACAAACAAGGAGAAAAGATCAAAACTAGGCTCAAATTAAGTTTAACCTCCACATTCTATCGCATAATCCTGTTTCATTATCGTTTTCCCCAATGGAACAGGCTAGCTGTGTGAAATAGCCAGATGTATAATTTTCAGTCACAATAATAGCTTCTTGGGGGAATATCTGTTTGACATATTATTAAATCAAAAAAGTTAATACCTTCAAAAATATCATTAAAATAAATATAGTTATCCCAAACACTGTACAAACAGTGATGATAAATAAGTAAAACAAATGGTCAGTACATTATTAATTCCTATCCACTTTTACACATAAAAACAGCACTTTAAATTTCCATAAAAACAAGCGTTAGACAAAGAAAAAAAAAGTCTTATATAATGATGAAATAGCAATAAAGTGCTTTAAACAAATTTTTTATCCCCAAAGTGCATGTTTTTCCACAAGATATGTGTCAACTGGAACCAGCGAGGTAATATGCTAGACCCATACTACCAGAACACCCTAAAAGGTGACAAACTCGCATCCCAATTTCGACCCCTTAAATCAGGGATACCCATTAGGTCGATCGTGTTCTACCAGTCGACCACAAAGCTAATGCTGGTAGATCATGATTGCAAATTGGCTCAATGTCCCAAGCTCCCTCCTGCAGTTCTAGTGCAGCCTAATGAGTTCTGCAGGTCCCCACATGATCTGAAGGTGGCGCTTCACACAATCTCGGCAAGGCCGCAGTCCAGGCACAGTGCTGTAATCCTCCTGGCTGAAAGCAACAGGAAGTGTCTCCTAGATACAGCAGCAAGAAGCAGATAAGAAGCTGAGTAAGCTGCATCCGCTCCATGGTACATCTCACCCAACACAGCATACATGGAGCACATTGGGACCACCAAAGTACCGTGATCACAGTCCTACCTCCATGCAGCTATACCTGTCCTACATAACAGAGGCACTGGGCCGTTTAAAAAGCTAAAATGATCATTCTGTATTACTAGTAACACCGGATGTAGGGAATTATTGTGTGTTCACAGGAAGGCTGCCAAGATTCCCCAGCAAGCACAGGACCTTAGGCAGCCATTTCCAAGTGCCATATCGGCGTTTAGTACTCGTGAAAATGCCCTGTCACTAAACGCAGATAATGCACTTCAATTTTTTTAATGGAAACGGCTGCCTGAGGTCCTGCGCTTGCTGGGGAACCTCTCGGCACCTGTTTATAGCGCCGGCCCGCACATATCCTTCTCCTTCCTGGGGAACCACGCGGCACTGCTTACAGTGCTTCCACCGCCTGCGAGACCCTCCGAACCCATACTTATTATTCTACATAATGTAATATTTCTATCCATATTATTTAATTGTCACCAGTTATATTTTGATCATTACTTTGCACTGATTTTAGTTAATATATATATTTTTGCACATTATTGTTTTTATTTCGTCTTTAAATTAGCGCAAATAAAACTTGAGTTATTAATTGATTTGTGAAAATTAGTAGGGAATCTCCTTAATTCCAGATCCCTGCCTGTTTTTTTATAAATTAAATATTGTTTATTTTATCAGAGTAAATATTCTGACATATTTGGAGGCCCTGCACCGAGATTTGCCTGTTTGAAACAAATAAGAGAAATATAATTGTGCAAATATATTATATTTTGTTTTCATTTTTTTTTTTGCTTTTGTTATTGCTATGGTCAGTTGCAATATAGAAAATGTCTGATGCCAAGAGTGTTCCTAGCAGATATTGTAATTCTAGTGCAGAATCTGAGGCTGGTTTGAGTAAGAAGCATGCTAGAGCATTGATCAAATTTCAGGTGATGTTTTTTTTTAAAGATAAATTGGATATTAAATGAGGATATTAATGATTGGGTCACTGGAATGCAGAGTAGGATTGCTAAATATGTAAATGATATCTGGTCTGAAGAATCACATGTTGCTGGTTATCTTTATCATATTGCTGAAGCTAAAACTAAGAAAAAGAAGCTGCACTAATTAAATCTTGGCCAGAATTTCTTTGTCATTTATGAATTGGCAGAAAAATTAAACAAAGCAAAACATGAAATATAGGCGAGAGGCTAATAAAGTTAAGAAGTGACAGAAGATGGGGCGTGTCCTGCTGATGGCGGAGTAAGTCATGTGCTCCGAGAGCTCCATGGTGCTATCAACTTACAAACTGTTTCCAGCGATTTATACCACCCTACCTTGCAGCAGCAAAAGATGTCTAAGCGCAGGAAGGAAGGCACGTCTTCCTTGCAGAGAGGGACTCCGTCTTTACAACGATATTTCTCCTCCACACGGAACGGGACCCGCGGCCGAGATCTATCCAACATGGTGCTGGAACCTATCCCACCATCCTCGCCACAAGGCACTGAGCGCTCAACCCTGTCAGGACTCGCAGCGGGACCCCGTCAGGACTCCGATCACCCCGTAATTACGATTCAGACTCCACTGATGCCGACCAATACCCTGCCCGCAACCAGCCGACTGATCACTTGCCACTAGGGTGGCGCGGCGCTCCAGAGAGACCTGCATAAGATACGACAAGGCATCCAAGTGGTCTCCTCGGAGGTGGCCTCGGTATTCAACACCTGTGCTGCGATTGACGCCTGCGTCAGGCTGCTGGCAAAGCAAAAAGTTTTCCTGGCACACTCACAAGCTAGCATGTAAAAAAACTTGTCTCACAGTAAGGTTAAAAACAGAGGTTTGGATACACGTCTTCTGCAGAAGGCTGCTGGAACAGAGGCAGCCGGGACCTTCCACTCAGCTAGCGTCCCTCCAATTGTAGATGGAGGACCTGGAGGATCGCAATGTGCGGATTCACGGGCTCCCCGAGGCCACTGCACCTGCGGATCTCCGCTCCGCGGTTCAAGCGGTCTTCAGCTCGTTGCTACCCGACACAGCTCCCGCGGCCATCCTTCTGGACAAGGTCGGCCACACTCTCGGCCCCCCAGCTTCAGATGCCTCCCGCCCGAGGAATGTCTTGTGTGCCGGGTCCACTATTACACAATGAAGGAGGACATCCTTTGTCAGGCCTGGCAGAAGAAGCCAGTGGAATTCGATGGCGCGGGGCTACAGATCTTACCAGACCTATCTCGTAACATGTTAAGACGCCGGGCCCTACTGCGCCCTCTCCTCACAGTGATCATACAGGCGGGCGCCTCCTACAGATGGATCTTACAGATGGCGCCTCCTACAGATGGATGCAAAGACGGATCTTCATTCCTGGTTTGTTCCCTGGATGACGTACTTCCTTATGTGACTTTCTTAACGTACCCCCGTTGCAACTCCCAGACTGGTTAGAGTATTTACCAGAAGAGTCGGCGACAATTCCGAAGCCCCATCGAGCTCGGCGGCTCCTGGCCCCTACATTGTACCCTAACACCCCATAGGCGTGATTCTTGGTCCGTATAAAGCCGGTGCAACTCCAACAGGAGAATCTTCAACGGCCCTCCATACCATGTCCGAGCGCTTTACCGCTAGCCTGCCTGGTGGCTCGAATACGGAGAGCCGTGACCCGGGTCTATACCTACATGCCGGTTTGCCTGACAGAGCATGATGCCTGGAGCCCTCTTGGTTTCACATGCTTTCCTTGTTTGAATGTTTTCTTGTGATTTTATTTGTCGTTTATGACCTACTATATGATGATGGGGATCTACCGCCGCGGAGCCGTGGCTCGCTCTCCTGAGAACCCGGGGGATTACCTCCGGTCCTCCGCTGGATGACGTCAGGGGAGTGCCAGTGGGGTCATCCCCCGCCGTCCACTCCTCTGGTATTCGTCGTACCATTCAATCCCGGGCACCCTGGCGCTGGCTCCTATATTCAATGGTTCAGGCTTGATTGCATGCATTGCAGATTATTTCTGATTATCGTTCTTTATGCACTTATTCGCCCACGGAGCTAAGCTCTGCCCTTGTTCAGACTCATTCCCCCACTAGTTAGTTCCTGAAGGGCATATATTGCCATAGGAACTCTGAACCCCGGTTCACCAGTTGACACTCGACAGCCATTTAACAATCAACAGTATAGCTCTAACAACATCACGGTATTACATCCAACCATGTGCATTCACAACCTGAACGGTATTATGTGAAAAATAAAATGTGTGAAACACTTTTGCAAGAGTGGAATTATTTACAACAAATCTGTACCACATATATCTAAAATCAAATGTGATAATAAAGTGATAATATAATATCTCTTAGAAAATGTGAACAGTGAACTACTTGGTATGTTATAATCAAAATGAATAACAGACCATGTGTCCTCAAATAAATGAAACAAATGTCACAATATAACAAACAGTGAACCACTTCGTATAATATGATCAAAGTGAATGATATACCATGTATCCTCACATGGAACTGTGAAACAAACTATCACTATAACATGTGGCAGTGTATATCTTCTAGTAAAGACCAAACAGTGAATTTTATATAATATTAAATATAATACTCAAAATAGGTGATAAACGATATATCATCTAATATGTAGGTACAACCAATAACAAATATAAATATCATAAATTGGTGTTTCAAAAACAGTGTAGAAAAATCTGTGCAAACGAAAACAAACGGAAAAAAAATTGTCTCTGGCAACCAAAGTGTTCAAATAGTGCGATCTCCCATTCTTCTTCCGACTATTCTAGATGATCCAAACAGTCAGGTTTAGAAGAAGAGAAAATATATCTCATTCAGTGATAATTCGTGTTGAAAAAGAAGGAGGCGCAGAAATCCCCTTTAGGGTATGTACTCACCGGACCGCAGATGTTTTTAGGCCTTGTACAGCACCAAGATGCAGGCAGTCCTTCACTGTCCTCTTCCCCCTGCTGACTTTCACAGGGTTTACTGCTGTCACTGTGAAAGTTCCGTTCGAAGTCAGGAAAGAAAAGGCAGTACTTCCATAGTGTGGTAAATTAGGATAGTTTATTAGATAAAAAAAAGCGCCTGAACAAATGTATAAAATATAAAACGAAATGCCGGCCGGTCAGTCTAAAACAGACTCAAAGTGTGACGTGACTGCAGGACTGTCCCCAAGGACTGCAGGACTGCTCCTTCTTCACTCGACAGCAATTGATCTGTTTTTCAGATCCAGCTCTTTGTTACCCCCTTTTTGTCTGTGAACACTTCCCCTTCCACTTTCTGTCCGTGTTCCCCCCTCTTCCATCCCTTTTCTTCCCCCCTCTCCCCTTCCTATCTGACTTCCACACCCTTTTCTTTCTTACTCTACCTCTAGTCATGCCTACGCTCAAGCTCCTTTCTCTCAATGTTAGAGGCTTTAATGTGCCTGAGAAGAGAAGGATGGTACTTGATGACTTACACCGCCAGGGAACCCAGGTGGGCTTCTTGCAGGAGACCCATTTTGCCGAGGGCAGGGCAACTTCGCTCTGTGACCGCCACTATCCTACAGCGTATCATGGTTTTTCACCGGACAAAAAGTAAAGAAGGGTCACTGTACTGATCGCTAGCTCAGTGCCGTGGCAGCTATTGGGGATGTCCGCGGGGGAGGAGGGCCGCCTGCTGATGGTGAAGGGTCTGATTGGGGACCAGAAGGTAACCCTGGCAAATGTTTATGCTCCCAATCAGGGCCAAGAAAGGAATTGACTTTCGGACCCGAATCCCGAAAAATGAAATAATGCAAAATCCGAATGAAAATGAAACAAATTTTATGCCGGTGAACATGTCTAATTACTAGATGTTTTAACTGTGCAAAATGTGGAAAGGAATTATATTTTCTTTGGGGAGGATTGATTGATGGGAGAGGGGCGATATTGATTATCTAATTGTAAAGGATTTTAAAAGATTGAGAAAGTCTTCTTGCCGAAACGCATCAAGGAAGAGCATGCATGGTGCTGTACCCGTTATCAATTGTGAGGATACACCTGTCAGGGGTTTTAAATGCAATAAACTTGGAGGAAGGAAACATTTTTTTATTTTGCTGATTTATTCAGTGTTCATGCACAATAAATGTTTTTAAAAGATTTTATGCTATGTGCTGTAATATGTTCCCCGTCTAGCGTCTCGCTCTGAAGCGCAGCGTAGAGATCCCTAGACATGTGCACTGCCAAAAAATTTGTTTAGTTTTGTTTCGTTTTAAATTCAGATTTGTGTTATTTCGTTTTTCGGGATTCGGGTATGAAAGTCAATTCGGAATTCGGATTCGGACGAAATTCGTTAGCGGTAGTTCGTTCGCACGTTCGTTTTCGTTTCTTATTCGTTTCGTTCCTTCGTTTGCAACAAAGTGACATTTGATGGGGAAAATGGTTTTCTTCAACGAACGAAATGAATAAGAAACGAAAACGGAACGAACGTTCGAATGAACTACCGAATTTCGGAAATGGAAATTCGGATTCGTTTGCATTAGTTATATCTGTAATTCCGAATTCGTATGCATCCGAATATACGAATTTCCGAAAATTCGTCCGAATTTCGATTCAGAACGAAACTAATCGCAAATGACTAGAGATCCCTTTATCGACTATCACGGCTTGCGCTCCAGAGTGCAACGCAACATGCAGAGCGGCCGTCACTCTGCTCCGCCCCCCCAAATCAACTGAACCGTTAAATGCGGAAGAGGAGCTCTGCATGGCGTTCCACTAATTTGGAGTGTGCGCCCTGCTAGCTCCATTTGCCTCACGCTACAGCCTGGGGACATCGGGACCTCTCTCCCCTACCGCTCCAACGAACTCAGTCACCACTGACCTAGTCTGGGTTCATCTAACCGCAAGTATCGGGAGACTTTGCCACTAGCTGTTACCCACCAAATACAGTATAAGCCTATGGACCATTACTTACCTGATTGCTAACTGATACCTGCATTGCTGATACACTTCTGTGACCTACTGTTTAATCAACTCCAACTGATACCTGCATTGCCATTGCTGATATGCTTCTGTGAATTACTGTTTAATTAACTCCAACTGATACCTGCATTGCCATTGGTGATATGCGTCTGTGAATTACTGTTTAATTACCTCCAAAAGATACCTGCATTGCCATTGCTGAGATGCTTCTATGAACTGCTGAGTAGTTGGAACTGCATCCCTCACTTAATGTAAAACCAATTTGCATGTTCAATCCATGAACGCCTACATACTTTAGATTCCAAACAGCTATAGTCGTTACACTCCTGGACCCACTCTCTCCTGAGCAGACGTGCTTCCCTGCAACCCCACAGCCGACCACTAGGGTTGGGCTGCACTAAGTTAGTAATACCTTCCCCATTAATTAGAACAAGGTGTATGATGTTAGTAATTCCTAACTCTCCGTAGTTAAGACTGAGAGAGCCGCCAGGAATTCATACTGAATAACCTAAAGAACCAAAACCTCAATTA